TTAATTGTGCTTTATCAATTTATCTAAGTTTTAAGGCTTTTGCAGAAAGGTATAAAAATTCCTAAATAGCTAGATAAGTATCCTAATAAAACATTACCGTTTGCAAAAACATTATCTTTTTTGCAATGGAATAACTACTGTGATTTCAGGGAGTGAAACGGGCATAAAAACATTAGTTAAAAGTGCTGTGAATGTTGGCTTTCCCACCCTCTGTATTTTTGGAGCAGATTGCTTTTTCAGGCAAATTCCTTATATATCCTGTGCTTCCAACACTGCTTCTGAAGTATTCCTTTCTTTGACAGTTCCAATGAAAATACATGAGGGAATAAAGTGGCTTTCCTGTTCTTACTTATCAGATAGTACTTGCTTCTCTTATAATGAATACTTTTAGAGCAAGAGACACTCAGAGTAGATGGAACTACTGGTTCCCCTTTCCTGGTAATATAGTGCAAAATCAGATCCTTTAGAGTGGCTTTTTCTTCCTTGCACGCCCCAGCCATTCTGTCCTATTATGTGATTAGTTATAGTTAAGCAGGCGATACTTTTAGGATTTGGGTGAAACCTGCCCCTCACCAACCTACTTCAATCCTACCACCTACTTTCGAAAGTTTAAATCTGAAGGCAGCTGTCTCTTTCCTTCCTCCCTTCCTTCCTTCTTCCCTTTCTTCTTATTCCTCTCTCTCCCTCCTCCCCTTCCCTTCCCTTCTCTCCTCTCCCCCTCCCCTCCCTTCCTCCCTTCCTGGCATTTTCTGCCAAAAATTATTTTCTCATTGGGTTCCTCACACTCAGTAAGAGGTATCACATTTGTAATAATGGTAAAAGTAATCATAATTGTTACTGTTTTAAATTAAGCCATAGAATAGAATATTGAAATGACTTACTGTAGGTAAAATGTGAAGTATGAGGCAAAACAAGTTGAGCGAGAATGAGTTATGGGCTCTCTGGGAGGAAGACTTTTCCTGCCAACTGGAAGGGAGTGGTGAATTGTCAGTGCACCTATGAACATGGGCTCTCATGAAAGGGTCAAAGGCGCTGTGAGTGAGCTGCGGTCTTCCTGTGCATAGCCCCTCTGAATTGCATGCCATTTACTAGTAGTTTGGGTAGGGGGTATGTTTCTACTATTGGTAGTTTCTGGTTTAGCAGACTGGTGAATTCTAACAAGACATAAATGAAGGAAACTGGGACACCAGGGAGGCAGTCATTCCCAGACATCTCAAGTGCGGGGGAGTTCGTTAGCGAACATCAGGATTCTCCTGATTATTGCTTGAAGAGCTCAATTTCTAATGTATCAAAGATGAAAGGATTTTTTGTTGATATTCTTTTTCCATGAAATGGCCAGCATGTGTCGTTCATTTTTAAAATACTCACTATTGATTTTACCCAGAGTGAAAACCAAAGTGCTGGTCTTCAGACTGTGCTCGGTGAAGCCTTTAACTTCTGTGATGGTGCCTGGGAGGCTGCTGAGGGGAAGGTCGGTGGCACCTGGCCTGGGCCTCCCACCGTTGCTTCAGCCAGTGCTCGTCTACTTTTATCTTTTATACAGCAGTGGTTTACCCAAGGTTTTGTTTTCATAAAATTCCACGGCTTTAAAGACATTTGAAGCCGCCACTTTAGGGAATTGGTGTTATTGTACACAGAAAAATAAATCACTCTTTTTGAAGCATTATTTTGGATTGTTCATATCTCAAAGAGATGAAATATGTGATTTCTTTCCTCTTTCTCACTGAGTCATAAGTAACTGCCCTGATTGGAATGCTTGGAATTTTTTTTTAAACAAAACAGATCTCTGCTTTATAAAAAGTTTTGTCATGAAATATTTATATATAAATATATTTTTAAAATTTATATATATTTTAAGCCATTTTATTGAGATATGATTGACAGACAAAAAGCTATATGTATTTAATGTATGTAACTTGCTGAGTCTGGAGAGAAGTATACACCCGTGGAACAACATAATGACTTGTAGCTAAGAATACTGTATTGTAGCCCTGTCTGGTGCGACTCAGGGGTTTGTAGGGGGACTACAAGCCAGTGGGTTGCTGGTTTGATTACTGGTTGGGCATGTGCCTGGGTTGTGGGCTGGATCTCTGGTTGGAGGTGTGTGAGAGGCAACTGATCTCTGTTCCTCTTGCACGTCGATGTTTTTCTTCCTCTCTTTCTCTCTCCCTTCCTCTATCTCTAAAAGTAAATAAATAAAATCGTAAAAAAAAGAATACTGTATTGTATACTTAAAATTTTTCTAAGGGTCGATCGTACATTCAGTGTTCTTATAACACACAAAATAATGGTAAAGAGAGCAGAAGGAAACTTTTGGAGATGATGGAATTATTTATATTTTTATAACTTTGATTTCATACTGTAAGCATGTAACTCACAGACTAAGGAGTAAAAACTTAAGTATACCTTAAGAGCCAAGATTGTGTTTCAGATGGCCCTGATTAACACAATTTCTCGTTGTGCCTTTCAAAGAAGACTATTTCTAAGATACACCTTCTAAAAGGTATTCAGTTATATCTATGTTTTTTGAGAACATTAAAAATTTGGCCTGTTTAATGTCTTCTAAAAAAATAACGTAGGCTGAGACTGAGAAATAACTGACTTTCTTGAAGAATACCTAGATCTCTTATTAGGTCAAAGCAGCAGGACTTAGCTATTCACAGCAGCTTTCCTCAGATGAGCTTAGAAGCGTAATTGGCATTTGTGGTGTGGGATGGTCCTGGCCTGTGTCATCCCATCTTCCCCACTCAGGAAACATTTACAGGCTACATTTCTTCTTGTTGGTTGCCTTGGGATTCATCTTTTTTAGGGGTAGGGGGAAGATCATTCAGAATAAGTTGTGTGGGCAGTGTAAGGAAAACAGAAGTGGGGAGACAGCAGTTGGGGAAGATTGATGAGCCTCTGTGTGCTTTGGGGAGTCTTGAAGAAAGAAATGGGTGATAAGTTTTCTAAGCATAAGCTGGGAAGAGGGAAGAGGTAAAATAATTCATTTTTACCACTAATTTACCTCAAAGAGATGTCTTTTAACTTCAGAATCCTGAATTTGATAATACAGGTTGATTCGAATTTAATTTGCTCTTGAATGATAACTCATTCATAGTTAATCAAATAAGACACTACGTCTTGAATCTTACTGGCTCTGTCCCAAGAGGTATCATATTGGAAGCCAGTAATTGGTTAGCATCCAATTTTTAATCAAATTTTCTGCTACCACTCACAGAGTAGGTGAAAAACCTTGACTGCTTCACATTACTAGCATTAGTAACTGTTGACTATTTCTGGTATGACATTAAGAAAGTCAGTGCAGTTACATATCAAAGATTTTTTTCTTTCCAACTGACTTAATTTGGTTTTCCCTTCAGTGTTTTAATACTTTTTTTTAACCTATATATTGAGACTTAAGCAACAGTGGGGGCATGTAGCAAATACTGAACATGCAATTTCTTTTGCCCCAAAATTGGCAAGAAAAAGTCTGGTTCTCGGAGGGAGAAAGGGTATTTACAATTATTTCACAGCAAAACTTATTAGAATCTGCCGCACTTTAGTAAGAACTTTAGGATTTTACTTTTAATTAATCAGAACATGAATTTTCTTGATATGATATGTGAGTAAACAGTGAATATTTCAGGAAGATTATTTTTACAGTTATTTTATCTCTTTTAAAGATATTCTGAATAAAAAACAGTCTAGTGGAAGGACTTTAATAATAATTTTTATTTTTCAGTGTAGAAATATCCTTTCTTATGGTTATGCTATGTGTGGAGACACATTTTAGTTTTGCACAATTTCAACAAACTTATGAGAGCTACGGTCACAGACTTCACGTTTCTCTCTTCCTCTCCCACCTCCTTCCTACTTTTCTCTCTCCCTGCTCCATCTCACCTAATATTCACTTGTGAGGCAGCTCTGCTGTAATGGACCAGGGGCTGGGCTTGGCCCCAGAAGATGGAGTGTGAGGTTTGCTCTGCCATGTAGAAACTCTGAGAGCTTCGGTAGGTTACGTAACTTCTTAGGACCTTAACTCCTCTATAAAATGAAGGAAATAGTTCTTATGGTTGCAAAAGAATAAATAAAATATTGTACAGGAAGGAACACAATACTAACACCCTATTGAAATTTTTTTGTTGAAGTAAAATATACATAACAGTTATTTCAACCATTTGAAGTGTATCATTTAGTGGCATTAAGTATATTTACAATGGTTTACAACTGTCATGCTATCCGTTTCCAGAACTTTTTCAACATCCTAAACAGAAACTGTGTATTCACTATATAATTACTCTCCACTTCCCTCTCCTCTAGCTCTTGGTAGCCACCTTTCTACTTTCTGTCTCTGTGGATTTGACTGCTCTAGATACTTCATATAAATGGAATCATATACCACTGGCCCTTTTGCCTCTGGCTTATATCACTTAGCATAATGTCTTCAAGGTTCATCCCTGTTGTAGCATATGTCAGAATTTCAGTCCTTTTTAAGGCTGAATAATATTCCATTTTATGTTTATATCATATTTGGTTTACCCATTCATCCGTTGATGGACATTTGGATTGTTTCCACCTTCTAGCTAATGTGAAAAAGGCTGCTATGAACATTGGTGTGCAAGTACCTGTTAGAGTCCCTTTTTCTAGTTTTTTTTTGGGGGGGGATATATATCTAGAAGTAGAATTGCTGAGTCATATGGTAGTTCTTTGTTTAACATTTTGGGTGACATCCTATTTTTAAGTATTTTCTGAATCCATTGAATTGATTGTTGTGCTCCTAAATGGAGTGTTTGTTCATAGTAGTTATTTTATTCCCATAGTTTTTATATGACTTGAGTCAGGACAGTGAGGCCCCCTTAAATGTTAGGAACATCTTGCCCATGGTTTTCAGAAATGTATTCCCTGTATGCTTAGAGATCATTGAGGGTGAGGATTTTCTCTGTCGGTACTCAACTGTGTTGGTTAAACACTAGTTGTGTCAATGACTATAATATTTTCTGCTTTGTACCTTTCTGCAGGGGTTAAGGAGACTAAAGAGGCTGAGCAGGCCGATGGGCTCAGTTGGTAGGCTGCATTAACTCACCATGACTGCCGAAAATCCCACGCCTGGAGACCTGGCTCTGGCTCCTCTTGTCACTTGCAAACTCTGCCTGTGTGAACAGTCTTTGGACAAGATGACCACACTCCAGGAATGCCAGTGCATCTTTTGCACAGCTGTAAGTTTTCCTTGATGCTTTCATCATGAGAAAATACAAAGGGAAGAGCTACGAAGGTATAGGATGCATTTCTGTGGCTTACTGACAATCCGAGTTTGCTACAATATGATCCTGCTTGGAAGAGTAATTCCACATTTGGGTCTGTTTCCAAATAGTATCTTAAATGGTAAATTCTGTATATACTGGTTTTTAGGAAGAGTGTAATTCGTGTGTGAAATTTAATTATTTGCTGGATAAGCAGAGTTTTTTCTGTTCTTAAAGTTCTAGCTAAGAAACTAAATAGAGACATTTTAAAACATGCCTTAGTTAACTCTTACCAGTAAGAAGCTCATGGGGTATTTTGAATGATGGAGAAATCAGGTAGTAATTTACCAAGTTTTCTTTCATGTACTTGCTTATCTCCTACAAGACACATGGTTTACAACTGTTTTACTTTGTTGTATCTCCTTTTCTTTTTTTCAACTTTCACAGTGTGCCAAAGGGTGCTTATTCATCATAATAACGTTAGCCTTATATATAAAACTCTGTATAACTCTCCAGGCGTGGGGTTGACCCTTTCAGTTTGACATTTGGTATCAATGCTGGTGACCTTCGTTGCATGTTTCCCTGAAGGTTGGTTGGTGAAGGTATAAAGCTAGGAAACAGACTGGTAAGTTCAAAGTCACTACAGAAGTGTGAGCCCAAGTGATCTGATGCAATTTTTCATTTGTTCAAACATTTTTTGAGCTTCTGTTATGTGCCAGCACACTGCTGAATGTTGGGAATATAAAAATGAATAAGAAATGAATAAGGGAAGATGGACACATCGAAGGAGCTCCACAGGAGTCTGGTGAAATCAGGGACGGCTAAGCCTGGCGTATGCCAGGAGCATCCACCCACTTGGGGCTGGGAAGGTGGGAGGGGCTCTGGCTGGCAGTGATCTCCAAGCTGAGGCTTTAGTAAGAGATTGCAAACTGATGCTTATGGACCACATTTGGCCTCAATTTGCTTTTTTTTTTCCTTTTTCTTGAATTGAGAAATTTAAAATGACAAGTTTTCATGAAAAAATGAAAAAAGTAGTAAGATATAGCTACTCTGGGCCTATGAACATAGGCCCAGAAATGGATGGTTCTTCCTTCGTTTATGTCCCTATCTCTCTCCTGTATATGATTATATTTGTGACAATAGCACTTTAAAGTCAAGGATGGGTTGGTGAAGGGTCAGACAGTACTGGCATCTCAGAATGGTAGAGGGGAGGGTCTGATAGCTAGATTTGATATTTACCATTTATATTTGCTTTGGTAGGCCTTGTATGGGCAGACTGTTAATATTTATTATACAGTCAGTACAGTAATCACTGGACAAATGAGGGTTTAATGCCCTGACTTTGTGAAGGAAGTTGAATAATTTAGTTACAGTGATCAGTGGTTAAATCAAGGGGAATAACGAGAGGAATCATTTAGAAAGTAGAATCATTTATAAAGAGACATGTTTATTACCAACGTTTACTAAGCATTCTTTTTTTAATAGACAAATTGAGGTGAAATAAAATTTATTCCATATTTCTTTGTTGATTTAACTAATATAGCTAATTCATACCCATTTTCATTAAGTATATGTTTTGATGGAAAATTAGGGTAGGGGGAAGCCTCAGCGTGACTTTTAGGTAAAAAGGAAAGGGACTGAGATCCTTTTTGTATGTTTTGAACTCTAGGATCCAAAGATGGCAAAAAATAGCATTGTTTGTTCATTCATTCATTCAACAGAAATCTAGTGAGCAGCAGCTGTATGCCAGGAACTGTTCTAGGCCCCAGGATTTATGAGCTAAAGAAACAAACCCAGTAGAGATCCTTGGTGTTATCAAAGCAAGTTATACAATAAACAATAAACATAATGAGTAGGTAAGTTACAGTATTGGGTGATAAGGGCTTAGAAAAAAAGTCTAATAGGAGGTGAGAAGTGTGGGGCAAGGGTGTGTTACAGTTCAAGCAGGGCGAAGGCCTCGATAAGTGAGGTTCCTGCTGGTTCTTGCTCATCTTGTCAGTGTGCGTTGCTTTGTAGGAAGTGGGGCAATGGCCTTGTAATCTGAGGGCAACTTTAGTTTCCTTTGCTCTTGCTTTGTTTCTGAATGCTATGCTTCAGGAATGATTATTTCTCTGACTTTTTCACACGTTTCAGACCCTTGCTGGTCTTTGAAACAAATGAGTCAGAAGCAACATTTGGTTAAAAGTAGGATGGAAATTTTTGTCCAAGCATTACTGATTTTTAAAAGCAGCGTGTGGAATTCAGTTTTCATTATGAGATGTATGTAGTAGTGCAGAATTCAAGTTGGTGTGTTGGTGTTGGGTAAAGAACACAAAAGGAAAGGTTGTGTTTCATATTCACAAGGAGCTGACACTGACATATTGTTTCAGTAGATTTAGTTCCCAATTAAAAACAGCACAACCACTTCTCATATCTCCTTCAGGAATTTAGAGGTAGGAGTTAGTACAATTAGATCATTCTGTTTTCTAGGTTCGTATTTCCTTATTGTTGGGGAGTGCTCAAAAGCAGAAAGTCAAATGGCTTGATATTTTTGGCAACCTTCCAACTTTGGAACTTTTTGTACCTATAAACATTAACCTTGCCTGGCTTCCTTATACCCCATTTTCTATGATCAGCCAAAATGGTAAACTGCATGGGTGTGATTATATTTGTGTCTGTAAATTTGCAGTTGATACTAAACTCACCTGAAATGCTATTCTTTTTATTGTCGGAGCTTTTATTTCTTCTTTAAAAAATGATTTACATATGTCTCTAATCTTTCCAGGTATTAATTTGCACTCAAATTAAAGAGATCAAATGTGTTTCAAGGCTGAAAAGAAACTTGTCACTTTTTAAATTGTGCCATATGCTATTAATTTTCAACTTTAAATGTGATTGGGTGACATCTCTCAATTATTGGCTGGGAAAGACCAAATATTTAAAATGGTTTTGCTAAGATAGCCCCTCTCTCCCCTTCATTAGGGAAATATCCAAATGTAATGGTCTGTCTGCCAGGGATGGTGCTATATTTACATATTTTCATAGGTTTAATCAAGTTTTTTATACATTCTATTCTAGTCCTGTTTTCCCTAAGATGTATCCCTGAACATTTGTTGTGCGGCTAAAGTCTTTTTGTTTCCAAGATCAGTGTGCTCTTGGAAACAAAACAGAATAGACAGATGCGGAACGTCTGACTTGACCACTGGATGTTAGCCAGCTCATTCCCTATCTTTAGGGAGGCCTGGCCTTTAAATAGACATCCCTTAACCTGTGTGGTCCATGGACCTGGAGCTCTATGAAACAGAGATACTCCCTGAATAAAGTGTTCCTTATGCAAATTAACTTGGAACATGGTCTGTTCTCTCTTCCTCTCTTGGAGGGACCTAATGCATATTTGCATTTTAGAGGCTCTGTGAAGTATTGTAGTTAAGAGGAAAGCAAGGGGACCCTGTTTAATTTCTTCCAAACCATTTCCATTTGATCATATGCCTTTTTTTTTTAAGTGGAACACCTGTTAAGTTCTCTACAACTAGAGCTCTGAAGAATGCTGCTTTAAATTATTCCATGTAGGTAATTCTTGATTTAAATGACATCTAGAGAAAAGAATGTGATGAACATTGCTTTAAATAATCCATTCATATATTGAGTTTATTTTTAAAGGAAACTTAACCACGTTCTAATTGTGAAGATAGTTTTTGTTAAATTGTTTGCTCAGTTTTTGTATAGAGAAGAAAGTGTAGTATAAAGCAAGGCAAGCTGAATTCACATGGCAGAAATGGGCATAGCCCCTACTAGCATGACTGAAGTTACAAGTCATTAGGTGTATTATGGAGCCAGAGAAGTTAATATTTGGGAGTTATGGAGAGAGGTGTTGCAAAATTACTTGTTTTTGTAATTGAAGGTTTTTGTAATTTCTCAGGAATGTTGGTCTACTAACTAATGATATGCAAACATCAATCTCTCTCTCTCACCCCCCTATTTAAATAACCCAAATATGAAAATTCAAATTTTCCTCTTCTGGCTTCTGCAACACACTTTTTTTTTTTTCCAGATAATACTACACAATTATAATTCAAGTGAAAGAAGGAAAATTCACAAAAGCCAGTTATCAAAGGAGGGCAAATTTGTGGGTTTGCTCCCTTGCGAGCAATATTTGCCTCTTTGATTTACTTTGGAAGCTATTTCTGTCAGCCGTGAATTAAAGAATAAAGAAAACACAGTTGTTACTTGTTTTTATAACCTAGATAATTTCACCTGAAAAGAGTTGGTATGTTGGGCATGGCCTATTTACCTTTCAGATTAAAGACAGGATGTGCTGAGCAAAAAGAAAATAAAGTCCAGCCATATTCTTGCCTTTTTTCCATTACGTTTTGTTGGCTCAAAGTAGTTAGAACTCCTTTTACTATTCATTTCTCTAGCCAAATGGATTTTCCAATGTTTAAAAAAGTGAGAGGAAATATAAAACATTTCAGACCAAGCCCTTCTTTTCCTTGGGGCCTGTTGGGTGACCTTTAAGAAAAGCCCACATATGGCCTCAGAGACATTTCAGTTTGGGAAGATTAGTACTGCGTGCGTGTGTGTGTGCATGTGTATATTTGTGTCAGCGTGCACACTTGTGCACCCATGGATGGTAACATTCAAATGAAGTAAAGAATATGCAGTGGTTCATTTCTGGATTCTGATGTCTGTATTAGAAGAAAGAAATGACAGTTTTCTACTGCGACCTCCATCTTCTCTCCCAGTCTAGCATGATGATGATTAAGAGTGCAGGTACAGAGAGCTAGGAAGACCCAGGTTCAAGTTCAGGCTTGGTTATTTAATGGTGTGTGACTTCAGGTAAAATCTTTGGCTTTTCCAAACCTTTGTTTTGTCACCTGTGATATGAGGGGAGGTAAGGGATGATGACTCCTATTTCAGAGTGTTGTATGAGGCATCAAATAAGAATTCCAGTAAAGCAGCTTGCTCAGAGCCAAGCCCCTAGTAAATGGCTTTGTTAT